ACTTTCATCTTTTAAAAATCCACCAAAAAATCAAGTGATCAATACATGTCCACAGTGTGAGAAAAATGGACCAAAATGCCAATTTGAAGCAAGAGTCCTCCCCCGCTTTGAAAGCAGTTGTTGCTTCCGCAACAGGCTGCCACATTAATTGAAGAAAAGGTAACAAAAAATTTTTTTAAAATTCTGCCAGCAGGCCTCATCAGTGAGCAACAGCTTCACAGCCTCTTGCATTTATTCTCAGCTCGAAAATATTTTGTTTAATGGATGAGGCCCCCCCAAAAAAGTGGTGGAGGGAGAAAAAAGAGAAGAACACATTCCTTTCCCAGATGCAGTGAAAGCAATTGACTAATCCCTTTTTTGTTGGTAAATTGTGAGGAAGGAAAAAAAACGGGAGGCTAGGCAAATCGGACAAAAAGGAGAGATGCCACAGAATGGAGATTTTAATTGCTGGGGCTCAAGGGGTGAATTAGAACGGTAACAGGGCTCTGTTCTCTGGGTGTCACGCGGGAGTCCGTTGCCCTCACATCAAAGGCCGAAACTGATAGTCTGTGTTTGTGTAACATGTCGAAAAAACATCTTGGAGCAACCGCATTAGCAGAGTAATGGAACAACAGAATTGGCAAATGCTGCGCACCCTCTAAATTCTTTTTGAAAGCAGAAATAAAAAAAGATGGGGCCACCAACAAAAGCATCGTATTTGCTTAGTACTGCCAGAAAAGACCTCACTTAAATCGTCTGCTTTCAGCTGCCAATTTGCACAACAATTTCATTCGGCAGACAAGGGACTTCACTGATGCCTCAGAGTTTTTTCATCTAGGATTTGTTCACAGGGAAAGTTGTCCGTCGACCAGTTTCCATTGGGACACTTTTGGAGCTTTCCAAATCACCTCGAGAATTTGACTGGACAAGTGGTTGAGAGGAACATCATATGAAAGCGAACATAATGCTGCTTCTGACAGCTTCAATATAGATCCTGTTCAAACACACCTCCTTGGCAGGTGTTCAAATGAAAATGTCATAACAGGTAGTCCCTCAAATGAAAACCACAAAAAGCCAAGTTAAAAGAGTGTGAACTCTGAGAGGAGACCGGTGTACATCTTCCAAGATGGAAAGAACTGGAAACAAATGAAGATGTGAACAGAGACAGTCCACAGAGACAATGCTTGGTGAAAGATGTTTTGCAAATTAAACATCGACTTAAGTGCATTTCAAGAAATTCAGCATCATGTCTAGTAAAGTTGCATGGTGAAGGCCGGCAGCTTTTCCAATTTGCAACTCAAGTTCCTCTTGAGAGGTGACTTTCTCCATGTTTACAGGGAAACACAATATACACTGGTACATGTATTAGCTAAACCCTCTCCATTGGCTCTCCATTCAAATGTGCCGCCTTAGGGGGCAAACAGCTTAACCTTTACTGCCATTTCTGATCCACACATCAACTAATGATGCCTTAATTATGGGTCAGCCCCAAAACAAAGCCATCCCTCCTTTTATAAAAAAACCAACACTGCTCGGGAGGCGTCCATGTTGCTTCATCAAACGCCCTCAAAAGAAAGCAGAGAAAAGGGTGCATCTTTGGTGCCGTTAAAACCAGTTCCCTATTCAAACTACTGTCAAAGATCTCACAATAGGCTGCATAACTGTTAACACTCACTTGCCTTCAAGTGGGTTCTTTTTATTCAAGCAGAGGGACTTTTAAGACTTCGATTTGAAAAAACACTAGCTTCCCTTTACCCCGTTTTTCCGTTTTTCATTAAGTTTTGGCCAGGGAAAAGGGGGGAGGGCACACCACTGAAACACAATCCAGCATTGCCTAATGAGTTCACAGTCAGGGCCTTGGTGAGTTTCCCCGAGCTGTCCCAAACAATTACTGATCTTGAGTTTTTAGCCCGCGATCACTTGCTAACCCCATGCGAGGCTCTCTGGAGAGAGAAAAATGATTTGGAGAGTGGAAGAATGTCAGGTTGGCATAACGGTTGTTTTCACACATGACATATAGCGCAATTATCAGGAAACCACGGAGAGAGCATACTGCCAAAACAAGTTGTTGTTTTTTCAATTTCTTCCCTCACCCATCACAAAATAAATGGCAGAATAGCACTGCAAAAACCAAGGAGAAAATCTCTGAAAAACGTTCACTTTAGAGGGTCACAAACAATGGATAACTCGGCAAGAGTAAATTTGAAATCAGTTTTTAAACAATGCTCTACAACACTTTAACAATCAAGATGAGACAACAACTGCTGACAAGTTCAAATACAAAGTCTGCACCTTACATGTACATTGCATTACTCTCTGGTGTACAATTTTGTTAACAGGGAAGTGGTTCTGTTGAGACAAAATATGAATGCCAGCGCTCAAAGTTAGCAGTTTTCTTACCACCAACTGAACAAGAGCTTTAAAACTTTCCAGCAATGTCCTCAAATGCAATGCAAGGAAGTGCTCTGTTTCAAGTCCCAACTCTATACGTACTGGTACTTCTCAGCATACATGAACCTCCACTTTTACAACTTAGCTACCATTGTGATACATTCTTTAAATAAGGAAATTATGGCTAAAAAGAGACAGGGGCTCAAGTGGCAAGAATATGGCATGGCTCTGTTACAAACAACCCTGCCTTAGGCACTCTTTGTATTTCCCCAAAATGGCACGCCTGCTCCAGCAAGACGTAGGTGGCTTACTTCAAAGGGGGTTGGCAGTATGGTACAAGTATTTGCTTGCCCAATTGATGCCTGCCTACCATGTGTGTGTGCATAACGGGCCATGAAAGCCCCATTCACACCTGTAATGAGTTTACACTCTTCCCTGTATCTATTTGTTATAACACTCCACTTGAGCACCTATCCAAACCAATGAATGCATATGGGCCATTATTTAATACCATTTCAAAGTCACCGCTCCAAGAGCTGGTGAAAGGAAAGAGGGAAAAGTGCACAAAGTTTTCCTTAAGCCACTGCACCTCTTAGCTGGGTCAACATGGGGCCCGTGGCTTTCTGAACATTCAGGCATTTATTTATTTCCACAGAAATTTTGTTCTTTATCCATTTTACCTACCTCACAGCACGACAATTCAATTAAATACAGTAAACAGATAGCCTTTTGGACCTGCAAACAAAGCTACAAAGACTGCTAGATTTTGTTTAAACACAAGGCGGGAAAACCCATTTGCGGAGCAAACAGTGCTTGTTGAAGAGACCTTTTCTTGTTTACACCTTTGTTGAAGTTCTACCAGGAGTACATCATTATAGATCTTTCCATGTCCCAGTTTTCTGAAGGGAAACTCACGAACTTTTCATAAGGGAAAGTGAACAAAAAATGTTTTCAGTACCTTAACAGGTGCTGAAAGCTAAGACATTGTGGAAGGAAACCAATTTCCACAATAAATGCCAAGTCCATTTAACGGATGTATTGAAGTCAGGAAAAAAAAACTTTTGAAGGACTGTTGTTTCATACCCCCTACAAAGTTTCTAGTAATTTCAATTTCACTTGATGGTTGATACCTTAAACAATAGCTGAATCTATAAAGTCAAAATCTTAATCAAGTTTTTTCTTTCAATATTAGTCTCTGACATCATGCATCTGGAGGCAAAAACATAAAAAAATGCGATAAGGCGTATTTAAGGCACATGCGCATTCCTCTCTAAATAGTGTTTCCTGGGTTTGACTCGGAACATGACCTTATTATGGGCTACTGCTGAGTACCGCTGGCTTGTGTGAGGTGCTGCATTAAACTTGGAGTCGACGTTCTGCACAAGCTATTTAAATTAGTAATTTCATGCCAGTAATGGAATGCGAAACTTGGCTGGGAAGGGCTTTTCTGCAGAGGCAGATTACAGATGATGTGCCATTACAGTGCCAGAAATGTCATGATGGAGTGATGAACTCAAATAATTTATAAAAATTTACATTTAGACAGGATTTAAGGTAATAACTGTACGATAATTCCTACAGGGAAGGATATTTTAAGGTGAGCTTTCAGGTGTTTTTGAAGTTAAATGGAAAATTAACAAACATCAGGTTTAACCAACATACTCTCCCTTTGTCAATATCTATGCTTCCTTTCTTATTTTGAAATTAACCACTGGAGTTCTCTCTCAAATCCTATAATCAGTTTCCATGTTACGGAGTCAAAAGTCACTCAGTCCACCTTGAACAAGACATTTCATGAAGTTTCTGGACTGCTGCAAGACCACACACAGGGAGCATAGCTCAGGGTCAACAAGAAAACATGGCAACTCAGGTTGTGCAAAATGCATTCCACAGCAGTTGTGAGCCTCGACTACTACTGTTTGGCTAGTTTACAAGTAATATACATAAAGTAGCCCCAGACTCTCAGTAAAAGAGATTCTATGAGCTTGTATGATTGTAATACAAACAGGATATTATTTATTGACAATATGGCAATACACATGGACATGAATAGATAATCTACAGAACTTTTCTTCACTTAAAAAGTTAACATCATACATGTAAAGGGCAATCTTTACTAGGACACCTCTCCTACATAATCACACTGGAGAAATTACTTTATACTTGTCTTCAACAGACTGCCAAAAATGGTCAAGAATTTTACATGTTCTCCTAACATCTTCCAAAGCATGATTTTGAAAAGGAGTGCAAATACAAAAAGGCTACCGAGGATCCAAATGTAAATTTGGGCTGTTTATATGGTACACATGATGTGAGATATTTTCCAAAATCACACTAAACACGTAGTAACCCAAACTTTTGGAACCCTGCAACTGCCGATTGACACAAATTTTACTAAGATTTCACAACTTGAAGTTACCTCCTCACCAAAACGACTCCTAAATCCTTCAGCTGTGTAAAAGACTTCCAACGGCTGTATTATTAAAAGCTTTTAATTTTGAACTAGGCCCTAGTAATGCGTGCATGTAGAAAACGAAAAACTGAGTGAAACAAAAACACGGAGGTGTTCTAAAAGTAGCAATTGGAAAACACACTGAACCAAAAGTTAGTGAAACAAGTTTACAACTTACCTTCCACCCAGAGTTTTTCTACATTTGTTTCGATTCGGGCCTGCTTGAGACCGACAGCAAAGGCACCCATGATGATAATTCCCAGGAAGAGTGTCTTCCCGCAGTGTAGCTGGATGGTGCAGCCCAGGTAGAAGAGCAGAGCTTGCAGCCTGGCTCGCAACCACAGCGCGGCCTTGTTGCCTTGTGCCCGGCCCTGCAGCGGCAGAGGAGGCGACGGTGACGGGAAGAACGGGACACAAGACAGGTTAGAAGTTGTTGGGTCGGCATCGGGCCTTCCACAACTTGGGCCTCCACGAGGCGTTATCGCGGTCAAATTCGGATCAATAATGCCCTGATTTTATGACGTGAATCAGCGCTCATGTAACGTAAGTCCAACCTGTTCTTACACCAGGCTTTGTGTGAATGCAAGTCTGAGAAACAGTCTCCGGAAAAAACCTTGACGCACACCCTGCGACAACGTCGCTGTTTGACCCAACGCCTCTTGACATTGAATGTACATGCGCAACCAGGTCGTCACATTTTCTGCACATTCGATAGCAGACGGTTTATCCATTTGTAAATGTATCCGATTTCAAGTTTATGATTGAGGTATGCTACAATGCAGTTGAATATCCGTTTAATGGTCATCCTGAATATGAAACACCGTCGACATGACCGATATTTCCGACGTTTAAGGGGCAACTTCTACATCCCTGTCAAAATGTTGTTACGTTCGAACAATTAATGAGGACTGTAATGAGGACTTTAATCCTATTATTTTACAAAATGTTGGAATTCGTTCTTTACTCATCCACTAGCACTACACTGTTAACCATTTTAACACGGGCAATAGGCTATCACGGTGTCAATTTTTCTTGAAACAATGTTACGTCTCATAACTTGTTTCATTAACTGGTGAATTCATTCATAAAATGAGTTTTTTTTTCATTTCATTTCAAGGGATTGCATTATGAGTCGTTTGAATAATATTCAAATTATATTGACCGAAGCCCCCAACATGTTTATGCCTGGGGTATGTGGAATTACCCAGACCGTTCGGTGCCGGCCATGGTACATTACATCCCATCAATAGTCCTGCAGAAAGGATCTCGACGGCGCAATTTAATAGAAATGCCCCGTCCCCTCCCCGCGATGATAATGGGATCAACTAAGCTATTCACAATTCCCACGTCACACATGCACACAAAAAGTTTTAAGACAATCCACATGCTCACCCGCTCTATCTCTCGGTAGGCATATTCTGCATTGCACCAACTTGTTCTTGTAAGCAGTTCTTCGTAAACATAATCTCCTGGCGGTTCTGGGGTGGGCAGCCTTCCATCCTGAAAAAAGGGGCAAGAAGGAAATATTCCATTAAACATCGCTGCAAACAGTCGACGAAGAACTTCGAGTACGCAGGACATTCCTTGCGCGGGCTCGGGCGCTCAGGAAAGCCATACCGGCGACTCGATCGCGGTGTCCCCCACACGCACTACACATGCCTGCTACGCGGTGTGCGAAGACGGAATACCCGTCTCTTCCAAAACACAACACAGATCTATATAAATTTAAGTTGCTTTCCACTTATGTTTTCAATCGTCCACAATCCATCAGCTAACCTGAGAATCCGGCGTGGCAGTGCCTGCCCAACGCTCCATCGTTGGCCATTCATAGGACTAGTGGAATTTCCGAGCAAAAGTTATCATCCATAGCCACAATATAGGAATCCCAGTTTTCGCGAGCAGTAAACTCAAGGACCTTAACATACACTAGTACTACTACCCATGCACGTTTCCTCACGGAATGCCCTACTATTACGACTACTACAGAGTACATGCAAGCACACGGGTTCTCGGATCACGTCACATTGAAGAAACTGAATAACCACGATGGTGGGGATTTCGGTTGGCCTCCAAGCGCCCCAAGCCCCGCCCTCCCTGTCAAATGGCCGCCACACTGGGTCAGGTTCCCGGTACCTGATTGGGCCGAGGACGGTTGGTTTTGTTCCTGCAACACAGCGTGTCATTAGTTGCCTCGCAACTGAGGAAGAAAGGCCCAAGACCACACAAGTTGAGGCACCCGGCATGCGGGAAGAAAGCGGGCATGGCATGGCAGGGGCCTTCTATCAGCGCTTACCACATAAACATCATTTACTCGGCAACGGATTAAAATGTACATGTACAGCGGTAGTTGGCACGCAGCACTGGATGAACTGAAGGTTGGCATTCTTCGAAAAAAGTGGGAGAAGTCAGATGATGAAGTAGCAGATGATGTAAGAGACTAGGGAACAGATCGATGTGAAGACTAGCATGACGTTGTGCTGTTGTCGACCTTTATAATCAGTTCATTATTCCCTAGCTGCGCGACCATCTTATTTCGTAATTGATGTCATGAAACAAACCACAGAGTACAAATGCCCTTGTATTGTAAATACTCCCAAAGTACGCATATTAAATATCGAAATCGATAACGGGTATGCCAATTAAGAACGTTGGTAATTTTATATAGACTACGCCATAGTGGCACTAAGTAATAGTTGAGCCTAGTTCGAACACTTTTGTTGTTCACTAAAACGCAAGATGCATTGAACTAGGACAAATATAGTCCAAACAGACACGATTTCACCTTTCAACTTGTTCACATAGAAAATGTTCTAACCATCACTGCATAGGCTTATACTTCCATGTAACGGCAGGTGTATGGCCTACAATGTAAGGGTTCCGAAACCTCAATTGTTCGTCAAGAACGCGCTTCTTCATATCTGTTTTAAATATCACCAGGACAAGCTTTATGCCAATTATTCCTAGAACCGTAGGACTGCAGTCTCCATACATTGTACAAATGTACATGTACACCTACATGTACATGTACTCCCCGCTTGTACATGTACAAAATGTACGTGTATAATAGACACCGTAGTTCGCCTCGTTCAGAAGGAATTCTTTGCGCAGGCGCCTTGCTCTACCTTCTTGGGTGGCCCATTGGATGGTTTTATCTTTTATGTGGCTCCATGGGTTCTATGGCTCTTCGGTTTAGCATTTGCACCGGCTGGGTGACCAAAAAGGTCCTTGGTTCCAAACCGCAGAAAACACGGGGAAGACTTCGCCCCTGCTGTGACGGTTACACCATAGAGAAAGGGACATCATGAGAATGAGTTGACCAACTTGTGAATAAACTGAGGTATTGAAACCTTGACCGAACGACCGACTGCTCAATTTTCATTTCAGCCCACATGAGCCGCAGATATTTTGAGACAAGTTTTAGGTGTTACCTCATGCGGCTGTTTCATGAAACGATACGATGTTCCTTTCTACTGGAAAGTCACGAGGAAAGCAAATTTTGCAGAACTGCAGTTAACTGCATATGTCTTGTCGCGAATACGTCTGAATTCTTTCTCGGTATTGTTTTCAGGTAGACTATAATTACTTCGAACTGGTATCAGTCGTCGGGTTTGACCACATTCCTTGTCGGGACATTACTTCACCCCCCCCCTTCTGCTACTGAATAATGAGATGACCAGCAGACGAAACTGGAAGGCCGATGGAAATCCAGAGAGCTTGACAAATGACGAAAGTCCAGTGAAATCGGGAACAAAGAAGAGGGGGCGCAAGGAATGTGGATTTCGGGGAAATGATCCGATGACTGTTCGTGGCAGGGGTGGCTGTTCAGCGGGCCTTGTACTTTATCGGACCGAAGACATCTGAGCGATTTAATTCAAGAAGAAAGAGGGGAACAAACGGTGACGCCGATAACGCGTTTTTGGTGAAAGTAACGGCAATATAATATCAGGTATAGCTTATACCTTTCGTGTTTGTTTTTCAAAAGACAGAGAATACAGTTGCTTGGACATGATTTGGGATGTAGAGAAGAGTTTCGAAAAGGCGAAAAGCCACCAATGAAAATGAGGCTATAGAAAGCGAACGTAAACTTCCTAGTTGTTAAGTTTCCTACAAAAAGTAGGCCTATAAAGTTCTAATTAGTATGAAAAAATATCGACATATATTATGTCTGTACACGCAGAAACTTTACTAAAAGTAATACCATATAAAACAGAAATACAGAACAATCTACTTCATGTTGTGACTGTTTAGAAAGTACTTAATTGTATCATTACCAACTAAATCTTGTTGCTAATACTATACATCTGCCAACAGGCGTCAGCCGGTGATTGACCTCGCGCATGAGTAGGACACGCAACCAGGAACAGCCTGTAGTCCATGGTTTGGGATTGGGAAAATAAGTAAGCAACTAAACTTTGTTAGTTCAAAGTGAGCAACCGTTTTCCAAAGTATACTGGATAGCGCACCCCATATTGCGGTGCACAAAAATCCCTGATTCAACTTTCTGAGCCTCTTAAATAAATAATTTGCGGGTTAAAGATTACATAAACTGTTATTTTAAAAAACGGGTGTAAATAAGAATAAACTTAGTGTGCATAAAACAGCCTGAAAAAGTCCAGCTGCCCTTTTGTGATTAAGAGTCTCTCGAAATAGTAGGCGCATGAGCGTATTTGGGTCTCCAAAGATGGCGCCCACGGGCGTCCAACAAACGGTCCAGACGCTCTTCAGAGATGCATTTTTTAATGATAGGCCCTGACCGAGATTGTCCAGTTCATGAAATTATAGGAAAACCGATTAGGTACTGTTACTTGAAAGGCAGCTGGTATGAATTTATCTCGATTTGGTTACATATGGGGGAAAATTGCTGTGTACTGCGTGCATATAGTAAAAACTTCGTGTCTTTGAGAAACAATTGCCTGATTTGTTAGAATGCTGATCAGTCAACTGATCCTGAGCTATCACCAAGACCTTTGTTTGTTTTTCAGAATAATGCAAGTTTCGTACTGCATGTTTGTTTGTTTCAATTTTACTTTACTTAATCATCTTTTGTTTATTTTGGAGCAGCATGTCACATGTATTTAAATTATTCTCTGTAATCGTGCATGAAATCGTTGTTGTCTTGGTGAAATATGAATCCTTATCATTTAATGGTGGTGTCTCCACGAGACGCTTTCTGACGTCAGAACCCTTCTCAGAGATCGAACAGCTCTTACGTTTGATATAACAGGTCAAGAAACTTATAATAGTATCAAAATCGCTGTAGGGCGGTAAGCCACTGACACTATCGGCAGATGAATACTAAATTCATTTTCCAAAATACTCTGGCAGTGACGTGGATAACTATATATATACAGTATTAAATTGCCCTGTCTGAAAAAGACGCATTGCTGAATGGGTGAGAGATTCTTTTCCAAGTTAAATTCTCCATCTATACAAACTCTTTGGCCTTCCGTTCAACAAAATTATGAGCGTCTTGCAATCTAACTATAACCTTGGTTTGTGTGCATTGTAACATGTATATGTAGGTGTGATACTTCCCCAGCCTTATCGCTGCCCTCGGCAAACAATGTTTACCTTCTCTGAATCTTTTGACGACTAATACGCGAGTCTAAATAGAAATTTTGAGTTGTTTTGTTGTGTTGTTTATGATTTTGATTGGTCGACCACCCATACTTGCAAGGGCGTTGTGACGGCTGGTTTGTATCATGATTCCGTGGCCGTGTTTGGATTATCCAACCGGTTGGCCGTGATAGACGGCGCAGCACCAGTTCGTGACGACTGAAACGAAAGCCATGCTTAGCACGTAGAGGTGTGGAATGGTGAGCCATTATCATACGAACAAGGGCACTGCTGTGTTAAAACTTGTCTGCCAAAAACCATGGAGGTATGAACATGGAGCCAAGTAACTACTACGGCTATATATACAACGCCATGGTAGGAATAACGGTGTTGAAGTCTGAGAAGTAGGCCTATAAGAACTTCCTTGTTTGGCTGGGGTTCGGTGTTCATAGACGGGTTTCTGCCCAAACATTTCTGTCGCATGACTTGATGATTGTGTGCTCAGTGATGAGCAACTATTCTTCGGGATCTGGATGCGTTTATACTCCGATAAAGCAGATAGACTACATCACATTCAATTCACATCCAATCTTAGCGCGAAAGGGAGGCCAGTGGTGTTCAAATATGAGATACTCTACCACAGCCCTGCCGCACCCTTGAACCCGCACATATTCCGCGGACGCTTTGTGCGCTTTTCAGGAGTGTACATGTACATGTATACGCGTACATTATACATGTACATCCGCAAACATGCAACAAAAAAATAAAAAAACATCTCTCGGCACCGGTACGCAAGGGAATGAACATAATTGTAGAAAGCCACAATGTACCATCGTAGAAGACAGGACGACTTTTTCTCTATATACGTACGTGTAATAAAAAATTACTCCTATGAAGTATGAGAGAACAAGGTGGAGTCACGATTTGCCGCAGAGAGCAGCCACTTAAAAGAAACTGTTTTTCCATTTCAGTTAGAAGTTGAAAAAACCCACAAAAGTAAATCCATTTGTATTGCTTTCTCCTTTCGTAACAACTTTTTGGACCATTTTCGTTATTTTTCATGCCACCACTGCTTTCAGAAATATTCCATATTTTAAAAAAATGAGGAAGTCGGTCAACATTAAGTCGTTGACAGTTGAATATTCATCATTTCAATAAGTATTTTTGCACGGCCATTTATAGTTAGTTTCGGCACATGAATAGGTTCTACCAGTCGAAAAAAAAGGGTTTGTGATGTATTCCAGCAGCGGCAGTCAACTAACGCTAGAGGGCGCTATTACTGTCAGCAATGAAGCAAGGTCCTTTCCACGAGTTCTAGTTTATCGCTCTGTTTCACTTCGGATCTGTTTTCATTCTCCAGGAAATCCCGTTCAGACATTCTTTTGGGCAAGTTGAATATCCACTGTTCCCTGAAAGGAAACTCATAATGAATGGCCTGTTAGTTCGCCATTAAAGTTACGTTTCTGTTCACCTTTCCCCGTAAACAATGGCGTTATTATCCAAACCACGTAAGACGTAATATGCCACCAGCGGGTACTTGAGTTTGAGTTTGTAAAATAACTTTCATCGATATTCTTGAAAAAAAAATCTAGACTTGAAAGAAATGTCATGGATAATCTTAATCAGTGTATGATTATTGTTGGCACCGCCTGAATTCGTTCACTTGATGGTGATAAGTTTTGAGGTTATCAAAACTGAACTGTAATGTAGTGACGAGCAATCGCAGTTGTGACTCGACTTAACTGGAGGCGAAAACTTGAACTGTGATGGAGAAAATCGCTCTAGCAGATGGTGCAGCCACACAAGCTTCTCGATAGAAGGCCGCTGGTCCGGACGCCCTGATGAAAATATCCAGATCGTAGACTTTCAGGGCCAAACAAAAACGAGACCAGCAAATTATGCAGAGCGGAAATAAAAGACATATTAAGCCGTGGTGAGGAAGTGAGCAGCATCGACAACCACCTGATATATCGTTTGATGAGAGCAAGCTGCAGATCTGCCAGTAGTGCTGGATGAGAAAGTGCACAGGTTCTGCCGGTTCGACATTTACGATCGGCACCGGTGCTGAAATAATAAATGCCACGGGTGGAAACAAGGGTTGGGTGACAATAAAATCAGAAAATAGAGATCAGTGGTTGAACTGCGAAGATCATGTAACTGTGGACTGGGTAGGTGAAAGTAACGTGCGCGTACCTGCTGATTTGAACATGTCCAAGTGCATGCGGTAGGTAGTACAGTGCCACCACCATTGGGAAGCCGATGCATGTGCTACAGATTTTCAAAAAGATTGATATCATTCGTTGAGTTGTTACGTGGGCGTGGTCATCTAAAAGTATCCAATATGACAAGAACTGTAAACGAAACTATACGAGAAACGTGCGTTCGGGGTTGTTTGGTTCTATAAAGCCCATAAAGGCTGCATTCATGGCCGATGTCACTTGCCCTCGCGCAACAATGCTCTTTCTGATTTTTTTTAAGAACAATCGGTGTCGGAACTGTACTCCACTCAGTGCAAAGTGCTAGTGACCTTCAGGGTCTTCAACCCATCCCCTTCAATTTCCACATCCCACTTATCAAACCAATCCGTTCAAGTTGTGTGGCTTTTATCAAGTCTGCGGACAACTGTGGTCAGCAGTCCTGGCCGAGGTTGAGCCAGACAGATTTCAGAGAAGGGAATTGTTACCAATGAAGATGAGGAAACAGACAGCTTTCAAAATGTGCCACAGTTTTGCAGTCTTGTATTATTTCATTCATAGTTAGAATCTATCGGGTAATTACCCCACCTTGACAATGAGAAAACAACGAATGACGATATTTCACAAGACATAAAACCAATTCATTACAAACGCCCAGTCTAGAGCATTTTCATATTCCACAGTGCGCTATATTTCAAACAGTATAAGAAAAGACCTTTAATTTTTTTGGAAAAAGGCGGTGAAATCTAAAGGTCAGGAAAAACGCCTGAACGACTTGGATTTTGCTATGCCAGTTGAAGAATCTTGCATCCACATTCATAAGAATGTGGTGTGAGTGATACCAACTTGGCATGTCATTTAACTGTGGACATCGTTTACCCTTGTCCAGTAAATTACGACGGGACTCTGGGCTGAGCTTGGGTGGCTTGGTATTTTGTAAACCCGAGGGGGCAAATGATTCTCGAGGCGAAGCCAAGGGTGCCATATGCCCCCGAGGGTGTACAAAACCCATGGATCCCACCACAGCAAGCAACTATTGTTTCGTCATACAATTGTCATAGATTCCACTGGAACAGTCTTATGAGTACTAGGCCTATATGCATATTTTACAGCAAGATAAATTAAAATACTTTGACAAATTAAAACACTTGAACAGCAAATTAGAAGGAAAATTATTGAATGTATGTCCTTTGTTGACCTATGTTTTTGGTTTGCTTTTTTCGGGGGGGGGGGTTAGGATTTATAACAAACTGGTTTACAAGGGAAACCTGGGATTCATAAGGCACCGGGGTTCTGTCGATGGTTGAATTTCAAGATCGACAAGATAAAAGAGCAGACGAGAAGAGACAACGGCATAACAGTTTTATATGAGAGCAATGGCAATCGCAGCATGAACAGTGATCAGCGCATACTTGTGTTTCACAAGCATACTGGGTGCACAAACAGAAGTTTAATAACCCACGGGTCTCTTTCGTGGTCAGAGTGAAGAGAGTAGCACTTGTGAACGAACACTGTCCTTCGGTGTCCCGTGCACAGCGCACATCTACAAAAAATTGGTGCGTAGCATCACCGCGGCTTTCCAGTCTCGTACCCAAGATTACACAATTACAACACAATATATATATACCCAACGTATATTAATAAGCACTGTATGCTCAGTGCTTGTCCGAGAGCTTGCGAAAAAACCTCGCAAGATTACTCGGGTGGGACTTGAACCCACGACCTCCTGCTTACTAGTGCAGATGTCTTAACCACTCGACCACCGAGCTTGCCGGGGGCGGCTGGCCGGTCCAAGTCAAATGAAGCAGCGGGTACCGCAAACTATTTTCNCCCTTACCCAACGTATATTAATAAGCACTGTATGCTCAGTGCTTGTCCGAGAGCTTGCGAAAAAAACTCACAAGCTTACTCGGGTGGGACTTAACATCTCCCCAACGCAAAAATACATCTTGAAAATGCAACACAATAGACACGACTTACTATGGGAAAGATCACCGTTATCCATCGTTTTTTTTTGCAGCCCTGCAACATCGCCAGTGCGCTCGACACATGAGCGCTTGTAGCATATCACATGATCAATTCGTGACCAATGAAAATGATAAATCTGTGACCGTGTTGTTACAACTTGATTCGTTGTTCGTGGGTAGCCCGCTCGGACGCTGGGAACGTACATGTACACTGTACAACCGGTAATCCCTGTTATAGTGCAGCCATGGCGGCATCAATGCGTTCTTTGAAGGTTAATGTTTGGATAACTGGGCTGAATTCTTTTATATTTAAAAACGAACAGTCATTTCTGTGTTATGGAAAATTAATTTTAATCTTGCAAAACTTCCCATTGTCTTCGGCTTTTGTACGCCATCTCTTTTTTTTTTCTTTTTTTTTGCAGCTGTTCAAAAATCTAAATATCCATTTTTCCGTGCGTTCTTGTAAAACCCTGACGAGGAGGCAGTGTGTATGATCCCGTTCCGGGAACAGTGCTCTTGGGTGGCGTTCCTGCCGATCGAGTGCGAGAACAAGCAGTGGCGTAGCCACGGGGGGGGGGAGGGGCACGTGCCCCCTTCCCCCCCCCCCCCCA